AAAAAAAAGAACCAAATCTCAGGGACTGCACTTTTGCTTGGCATCACCTGGCGCTACACAAGTAAAAAATTAGAATAATCTCCTTATGGCCAAGCGCCACTCTTGTTATTGGGATACTACGAAAAACATCAGTGTAAGAAAATGTAGTCCCGCAACTTCGATCTTTCCTCATATTATGTAGCTGTCTGGACATTTTCAACATGGACCACTATTAAGGACTGTAGTAAAGGGTCTGACGTGGATACTTAGCGCCTAGAAGCCCCAAACCTTACATAAACTACATCCAATATATATTCAAGAAATTACACGAATATTCATCCAAAATAGCACTCGCGCTTTTAGTGCATGTAGAAGAACATCGTGAGGACCAAATGCTCACATAACACACCAAGTATACCAAAACTCCATACATCGCTCTTCAATGAGAAAATGTTGTTTTCTATCACTTCTGGCGGAATCCATTTAACAGGCAGTTTACGGCGTGTTGCCATCAGATACACATCACCTTCTCTCGTTAGCCCAAAGTCAGCTATTTTCAGCTGAAACACAAAGAATATCATGCATTCAAAATATACATATAGTTGGGAGGAAAACTAAATTACCATGAGATCCCCAGCAAGTAGGCAGTTGCGAGCTGCAATATCTCTATGGATGAAGTGCCTCGAGTGAAGATAAGCTAAGCCATAAGATGCATGTGCCGCCCAGCTCATTTTTTGCTTAGGTGTCGATGTTTTCTTGCGTAAGAATGACTTGAGGTCACCATTTGTCATCTTGAACAGAACAATATAGTTATTATAACCAGTCTCATACCCTCTATCTTACCAATTCCATGACTATGAGAATTGGTGCTTTATCTACTGCCACTCCATATAGGCGAACAATGTGTGGATATAATATATTGCGCATTATTCTAGCTTCTTTTAGAACTTCTTTTATCTAAGACAGGGTTACGACTTTGAGACATGTATCAAAAATGAATGCAGGCTGCATCCAACAATCTCGTTTTTACTTCAGACAAATTCTACCTCGTTCTCGCTACACTCCTTTTTTGCCATTTTCACCGCTACATTAATTGGTTGCCGAGTATTGAAGTATAATTTCCCTTTTACGAGAGATCCAAAGTGACCTGAAGAATGAAAAAAGTTTTAGCGTTCTTTCATTACTAATCAATTAGCCACAAGTCTTTCACCTTCTCCAATTTTGTCCCCAAGCTGTACCTGATCATGTGTCAGCTCCCAGCTGGCACGGCAGATTGGGCGTTTTAACAACGTATCTTTTGTCTATGATGCAGTGAACAAAAAAAGCTACAAAAATACAACATGGTAGTTACGTAGTACTCACTCCGTTTAACCCGATTCCTCTAGCAGCATAATAATCAATGAGCTGAACAATATCGGGGAAGAAGTTCACATTGTCAACGGAGAAGCCGTGCGGTGTTCGAGCGATCACAAAATGTTTGACTTGCTTCTATAACAGACTCGTCAACAAACAAGAAAGATGCCGTGCCAATGCAAGAGTATAACAGAACTGCAAAACAGATAGCCTTGCTATTGATACATACTTTACTGTTTATCTCTTAGATAGATAGTATAATTTTTTAATTCTTTGTTCACTTCTTCATAAGTATAGGCTTTCGCGTGATCGTTACAAAGCTCCAAGTAAATAAAATGACACTGACAATTTCTGACAAAGGGTCACTACGCGCTAGATACTTTATTTTGAATTACACATGCTCTTGGTGTAGTGGCAATCCATATTAAACTTACTTAGCACTCCTTATTGACATTATTGCCTTCATAGTCTTTCGCTTTATACCTTTGAAACTCTTGGGAACTATTGATGAAAGGTTACATATCCGAGGGCACCAAGGAAGTCACATTTTCGCTAGTTCTTAGCCCCGAAACCGTTTATGTGGGAAATGCTCCAAAAACTGATCTTGACTTTAATTACAATTAATCTACAATTACGTCATTACACTTTTCTTTGAAAAGATTATCTTCCTAATAACCTGTTTATGATTTCAGTTGATACGAAAGTAATGAGTCAAAATGCTTAGAAGACAAAAAGGGCTAATCTGAAATTGCCTTGAATCCCGACGAAACTTCCTCAGCCTAAACGATGAGATTATTTGAATTACTGATTGAGATATTATATTGCTCAGGACAGAGAATTACTGCAGGATTAAAGCATATAGAGATAAATAGTTTGTAATCATAAATACAAAGTGGTATATTAAGCTTAATTAAAGTGTTCTAGTTGTAAAAATCATATTTATTTTCCACGAACCCTTACTGCAGAATCAGAATAGATTATGGAAGGCAACGTAATCAAAGCTCCCAAAGTTTCATCGCTTTTTCTAGAAGTATTTAAACGTAAAATCGAACGCCTCCAGCTCTGTCGAGTAATATTCCGCCTATTTTTTAGACGAACTGCAAGCCTAATGAACGAACATGCAAGTCTAAGCAAAATCAGTTACTATACACTGAAAACAAGCTTGAAATAATGTTAATAACGTGCGCCAAATATGCACTATCAAAGAGGGTCTTGAAAATGAGGACTTTAATCACAATATCTACTCATAGAATATCATCCAGTTCACGGTTAATGAAAACGGTAACCTTCACGCCTACTTAGCATAACGTGTTAAGCAAATTTGTATTATTATAAATAGTCCTTAAAATTTGTGGCAGAAAAGATTTGCATATTGCGAGCTCTGGTTTACTGTCAGCTTCGCTCGTCAAAAGCATCAAGCAGTACCTTATTCGAACACAGTGAAATCGATACAATAAATGATTTCGCTTCCCCTTCCTTGGTCATCCCCATGCGTACTAAGTAGTCGCCTCCCTTCGTGAACAGATCGTCCATGTCTTCTCTAAAATATTCCTCTTGAATGATGAAGTTGTCTTGATAATTCTTTGTTTCAGGTTTTGGTATAGCTTAGATCTCATTACTCTCTCTAGAAAAATGAGAATCTTACTGATATTCGTTGTAGCTACAACTAACTTCATTAAACACAATATAATTGAGTGAGGCAATATCTACTCAAAAAAAGGTTTTTTCCTAATGGCATGAGTAACTACAACAAGTGGGAGAGGTGTAAACCTGCGCATGGTCTAAGTGCAGAAATTATGGACTTTTGTTCTGCACTTTGCAGATCTGTGAAGGTTCTGAGCGTACTAAATTACTTGATTCAAAAACTTTTTTCTTTCATTTTAGTGTAATGGGATTCTCAAAAAGCATTCCGTTTATGACGTCGATTATCTATGATCAATTGCTATGGAGCTTTAGTGATTAGAAGAGAAGAGCTATTTCTTCTTTCACTTCTTCCATAGTATACTGCAGTAATAAATTCACTACTTTTTTCAATCTAATGCTGCAATCCTTTATTTTTTTCTGAGAAATTGTTAGAGATATTTTAGACAAGGATTTCCCATGGAAACCATACCAGTGCGTAGTTATGAAATGCATTGCTTCTTGATCAGCGTGTCGCATTATCCCAATGCACAAATTTAGAGATATGCATATGAGGCAAGTGACCCATACGCTAATAGCTAAGGAGCAGTGCAAGGAATTCCTAACTGGAGAGTTTTGCAAATCCCCTTTGTGAAAACTTTAAAGGCTGACCAATCGTATGTTTACCGCAAACGATTTAGTGGTCCGGCATTCATCTTCTAGACAGAACTATTGGTGGAACAAGAATAGTCGATTCGAAAACGGTGTTGAAATTGCTTTGCTCCGAAGTAAACGTGTGAAGATGTGTTGATATAAAGGCTGGCCATAATTAAAAACACACGAAAAAATGACTATTCCGCTTCGCTGTGAATGATTTCTCTAGCATTGAGATCAAATATTCTGCTATATATTTATTACCAGTGCATTAAATCTCCTTCGGAGAGACTAACACTGGCACTTCCTCGGAAAGCCAGATTCGACACATTCAACACTTCAAAACAGTAAGCTAACTCAAAATTCCAGTAAATGCCTCTCTGTCGCATTTTCATCTGTTAACGCCTTCTTGAGAAGGGCAGAGGCCTCCCGATCTAAGAGGACTCCATATCAACACCAACAACAACTTACTTTGCGAAAAAACTGCTCATATTTACTTAGTGTTCTGCAGTTGACATTTTATATTGTAACTTGTTCTATCATTGTATTTTCCCAATGCTATAGGTGATAATCAATAGCGTGATATACGCTACGTCTTGCGCTGTTCATCCAATGTTATTCCATAGGTTTCACTAAGTAAATCAGTAATTTATACTGCAATGGGTTAGGAGACCTCTCAGCTTTTTTGTACATAAAAAGTTTACCATCAACGCGTTCCACAACAAACGTCTTCTTGAAGGAGAAGGGCGTAAGCTCCTACATTAGAGCACTCATATTCACATCAATAATAACTTATCACGTTTTCGCGACAAAATTGCTCATATTCACTCCCTGTTCTGCAGTTGACATGATAACGTTTTATAACTGTTCTTCAACTTTAAGGCGAACTAATTTTGAACTAATTTTGCGGTAGAGTGAGATCACGAATACAGACAAACTACGGCTAAATACCTTGTACAATGCCGCAACTTCGCAAAAAAAACGTTTCATAAATATCTGTCGCGATGGGACAATCTGTCACAAACGCATCTCATAAATTCTTTTAGAACACATTTCCTTAAAAAGAAAGTGGTGTTAGAATCAGTTTATTGAAATCTTCTGGTATGGCACACTATAGTATAACATCTAAGGTGTAGGTATTACGGTAGGGTCAACATCGTGAATCCGTCCAAAACATCGTCTAGTAGGGTTATTTGACGCGCTGATCATGAAAAAACGCCCATTTCTTACGGTAGCGCCTACTGTAAAGATGCAATAGGCATACATGAAAAGATCGCCCTCACGAATCCCTCTAGAAGTTCTTTACTTAGAGGGGTATTTCATATGCTGATCACAAAAGAGCTATCCAATTGTCACGATCACGCCTCATTGTAAAGATACGGGAGCAATACGATGAGAGATCAATACCACGGATTTCTCCACATCTTTGCCTACTAGGGTCATTTGATACGTGATCACGAAGACCATCGTTCATCAGTAGTGCTTTACTGTGGGCTGTTGGTTTGTAAAAGTATGCGAATTTGTCGTAGGCTGCTTTGAAACTCTTTGCTTTTACTTTGGCCCATGGAGGACAAAACTACGATCCTTTCTTTAGCTTAAACGTTGCTAATATAATTTCCCTATATAGAGTACTAAGCCTTTTCTTGGCACATTTATACCAATACATGGTTTGATTTCACGCCGTATAGTTATTGTACCTCCACAATAAGGCGCTAGCGTGCAGTACAGATGCGTAGTGTGTAAAAAGCATGATAACCACAGAAGATACTATCCAGGTAAAACCGTGTTATAGACCTCCAACCGTACACTTACTGCAACTCTACAGTAAGGCCCTACCAAGTGAAACAGGATTAGCTGGCGCAAATTTTCAAAATGTTATAGCCGAGATTGCTTTCCTTTATGATCGAATGCAAAACTGCATGTAAATAGATCGACAATAACTTTAAGCATTTCATTAAGATAAATTCTTTGTAAATAGCCTGAATGCTACCGTGTCAACATAGTACCTTGGCGAACATGCAGTTTAATTCTCATTGAATCGATAGGAATACGAATTTTCCTTATTTCCAGCGAAAATTCCATATTTTTCCAAACTATCGTCGAAAGTTTTTCAAAAATGCAACATATTTTTTAATCCATTACGTATTAGTTCACCTTTAACGGATGCTATTATAGTCGGTATGGTTCATACAAATAAAATTGCTGCAAACAATTTTACATAAGTCAGTCACTGCGCAAAATTTCTGAAAGGATCCATGCCCCACCTCTGCAGCATTCCATGATAGTAGTCTTTTTCTTCTATGTTGCACATAATTCCGATATATCTTAAAAGTTTAAGTAGCAAAATGAACCGTACCGAAGTTGAGTGCTTATAAACCCTCATATCAATGCAGTAAAGAGGTTAATTAGAGATTAGTATGTTTCTTTTTGTAGTACTGAAAAGAATTCAGCGGTCAAACATTAGACGTCTGTAATCGTTGGGGCACACACTGCGCAGATCATCACTCTCTTTCGTTGTAATTGTCACTGAAACCCTTAAAACAAAAAAAAATTTGCGGAACGACTGCAATTTCAATAATCCTATAACCATACTTGTTTCAATATTCCGCACCTAAATAAGTGCATAGATTTGATTTAAATGTAACTTAATACAGTAAAGACGGTGTTAGAAGGTAGCGGAAACTTGGGAATATGGACTCTCTTAGCTTCTATAATTAGAACACCCTTTTTGACACCTCTAGTCCTCTCTACCATTTAGGAGCGTACTATGCATACTTAAACGCCTTCTTTCTAACCATACCACACAAAAAATCTAACCTCAGATTTTTCTTTTGTTTTTGTGCTGACTGTGAGATTGTCACCAGATTGAAAGATTTTGGAAAATGGAGCTTTTAGTGTACCGACCTCAGAAACGATATGATTTGTCGATGAGCAGTCTCCAACATATTCAAGCAGAAAGTTCATATGTACGTATAGTCCGTATAAAGATTTCTAAACTGATAAGGCCCAAATTCTGGCACATACATTTCAGACGTGTGCGGATAAAATAGGCTACACTATACGTAGCCGTTTAATGGTGTTAATTTGCAAATTTGGTCAGATTAGTTTAGTCTCAAAATGAAGTGATTCAACCATTTTAACTACTCAAGCAATATCGTGTAAACACATACAGTTCCTAAATGGATGTGCGTTGGAGCGGAGCAGTTGCTCATGTGGATTTGTTGGTACAACGATAATTATAGGGCAAAGGCAGCGAATTGTGTGCATTAATATCTTCGTTCGCATTTGAAGAAACGAAGAAAAAGATATCAATCGATTGGAAGTGTTATTTCGATAGGCATCTAAGCATTCGGTTGCATCGATTACTTCAAAAAAAAATTGTAGGCTTACGTAGTTGAGACCGAAGAGCGGGTCGGGGAAGGGTCTCGAAAAACGGCCGCAATTATTTTTCTGCCCAATACGAATGCTATTTCTGAGCTTTGAGCTTAATCAAAGGGGCTTATTTGCTTATGTTTATAAATGCGGAGAGGTTATTGAGGAACCAGGAGTTGCTAGCGTAATTCGGAGTCTACACCTCCCCACTCGACATGAAATACATGAGCCTGCAGTATTTGTTACTTGCTGCTGAACCCCTAAACGCTAGTTGACAATAATCATTACTTATAATAAAGCGCTAATGTGTCTGTATGTGTGTGTGTGTGTGTGGGTGGGTGTTTCTCTGTCTGTCACGAAATTAGTTCATTTGTCCTAAGAAAGTCAAAGAGCAGTTATCAAGC